TTCCTAAGCCCGCAACTAAAGGGAATTGGTTCAAATAATATGGAGCATCCACGCAACGCTGTTCTTTGCAGCCGCTAAGATGGTGTTTTCAAAAAACTTGATGCATTTTTTCATTTCGTACATTAAATGGAGGGAGGGGAAGTCAGAACCAACACAGTGTATTAAGTGGATGATCTCGATTATGTTTTAAAATGTACAGAGAAAAGAGAATGAAAAAAAATATATACCAAAGCGTTAGCAATACTTATCTCCGGGTGATTTTCGCTAACCTTGTAGTGTGTGTGTGTGTGTGTGTGTGTGTGTGTGTGTGTGTGGTATCATCTGTAATCTGCATGGTTGTTTTTTTTTTATTTCACCAAATGGACAATGAAAGATGTTAGACTGAAGTATTTACAAAATTTAACTCATTTAAGAAGACTAAGATCTAAAGCCCTACTCTCCCCTCCCCCCATGCCCACCAGCTCAAAAAAAAAAAGTTGACAAAAAGATTAATCCATAGTTTTTTAAAAATAGTGCATTCTTAATTCTGAGTCTTTTTTTAATGTAAAGGACATAAATACATTATAATTCGGTGAAGGGCATGTGTTGCCATGTGCTCTAAGTTTCATAACTGAACTGCCTTTCGAAATAATTATTTGTCAGGATGGGATTTTCTTGTCGTTATGTGTGTTCAGCACACCTACCCATGATACCTTTATTCTTTCCCGAAAATCGGGCCAGGTGAGCCTTGCTATCCTGTGACTGTGTTATTCTTTGTTTCTAACAACACCATCACCCGAATAGTCTACAGGTGGACACGGGCCAGAGTAATTCTGAAGTAGAATACATATAAGGGGTTGCTGAGGAAACCACAAGGCCCTCAGGACCCAGGAAAATGAAAGAAAAAGCCTCGTGCAGTCTTCTTAGTCTGGTAGGTGGCTAGGAAGATGGATAGATGGTGGCTGACAAGTGAGCAGACACAGAGGAGAAAATAGATGGAATGGATGGATGGATGGATGGATGATGGACAGGTTGGAGGTGGACAGATGTTGGTTGGATGGATGCCACCCTCTCAGGCATGAGTGTCTGCAGAGTAATAACCAAGTCATTCATCCTGGCACAGTGAGGACTTGACCACCTAACACCTACCTCTATTTCCACTTCATGCCCCACCATCGTCTTCCAGCCCAGCGCCCCGCCCTCAACAATTCTGACCAGCTCTCGGTTGGTGAATGCTTCCTCTCTGCCTCCAACCTCGCACAGGATATTTCCTCCCCCGAGAAGCTGTTGTTAGCCTGGCACGCTCCCACTCTTCTCTCCAGGCCAGGCCGAATGTTACCCTCTCTCGGTCACTCTCCCTGACTGTCCCCACTGCCTACTAGGCAGAGGGAGCATCTGGTCAGAAGGACTGCACATCGATCCAGAGTTTCTCTGTCTCCCACTAGCCCCATCTCTGTGAAGCGATGGAGTCAGAGGGGGCGCCAATAAATATTTGCTGGATGAATGAGCCAGGTCTGTTATGAAAAGCCACAGGGTATGTGAGGTGGGGGTGCCTGTGGCTTTCTCAAGCCTTTTGCTGCCATTGGTGTCCCCTACTAATAAGTGATTTATGTTCCCCCAAACCCAGGCGATTTACAGATCCATTCTTTACCTAAAGCTGAAGGGTAAACCAACCACATCATAAAGGCTCCAGAAGGGTGTATTACTTCCTTCTAAACAGAGCTGTGACCCTCGCACCCCCAGCCAACAAAGAGCTTGTTGATAAACCACAGGGCCAAGCTGTGCCAAAATACTTTCCAGAATAAAACGGATTAAGGGTTCATGCTCCTTCCGGCGGGGCCCTGCCTGGAACCAGGGAGACCTGTTTTCCAGGCCCAGCACAAGGAATGTTAATTCTGTAGATTACATTCCAGGTACCAGCCACCTCTACACAGCACTCCGGCCCTGGAAGAGAAGAGGGGTGGGCAGCTGAAGGAACTGCACAGAATCTCTTCTTGAAAAAAAATCAGCAGACCTTGGCAAATCATGTCAGCGTCTAAGTTATTCGGAAAGAAACTAGGGACTAACATGTAGAAAATAAATATGAGTTTTATATAAACACGTACTCAAATCGTGGAGGAAATATGGAGAAATGAGAACAGTTGTGTGGCTAGTGGAAATACGGATTTTTTTTTTTTCCTAAATTTTTTTCTATGTGATATTTGAACCATGAGGAAGGGGAAATTGTACGACATCTGACTACGCAGTAGGACAATGACACTCAAGCCTGGATGTCCCACTTCCCCTCGAAGCCCCTTCTGCTCCTCTCTGGTGCTTAGGATCTTGGTAAACTGCTGGACCCCACCCCTGAGATTCTGACTCTGATGTCGGTGGGAGGGCAGGAGTCTGCATTTTTGACAAGCTCCGAAGTGATGCCCATCAAAGCTGCTGGTCCTTGGACCACACTTAGGAGGAAGCCCCCTTCCTAGCCACCAGTTGCTAGGGACCAGGCAGTGGGGTACTGGTAAGTGTTGAACAACTAGCTTTTGGCGGAGGCACAGGACCTAATTTGCAACATGTGCAGATTACCATGGTGTACATATTCCCACCATGGCGGATTTCAGAATAGCGACGTCATGTCCCGGGATGTGGGCTGGGAAGAGATGTGCACAGCTAGCCCCTGTGAGCTGGTGTCAGCCAGCCAGCCCCGTGACACCGCTGAAGCCACAGCCCTTCAGATTAGCACCCAGCCTAGGACCAAGTGGGCCAGGTGGGTTTTGTAGAGGACAGAGGTGTGTCAGCGGAGGGAGAGTTTGGAAGCCTGAATAAACTTTCCCTGGAAAGTGGCTGACTTTGATTTTTCTCTTTGTGGGTCTCAAAAAAATAGAGCAAGATGTGAATGAGGGCTTGCAGAGATCAGTTTTATATAGAAGAAATCTCTCTCCTAGTGAGATTCTTGGGTTTAGCAAACAGATAAGGTGCTGGCTACAATAATTAGGGCAATAAGCAGCACCATGCTGTAGAATTTGTGTGTGTGCTGTGGTTATAAATGTAACACCTTCATGGTAGAAAGTAGAGTAATACAAACAAATAAAATACAACAAAGAGACAGAATACAAAATCACCCCAAATTCCAGATCCTAGAGGTCACGATCTTTAACACATTTTTTTGCTTTAAAAGATTAGAGCCATCTTTTATTTGTAATTTAGTGCCTTCCTTTTTTTAACTTAACCTATTATCAGTTCCAAGATCATTTAATATTATTTGAAAATATGAACTTAGCTCTATAATATTCCCTTTACAGGTGTAACATAACTTATTTACCCATTCTCCAATGTGGAACTTTAAGTCATTTACAGTTTTATACCATTAGAACCAAAACGATTATTATCTTTTAGTGGAAGAATTTGTTCCGTTTATATTTACGGTCATGACATATTTGCTGTTATTTTTCATCACGTTTGTACTGCTTTGCTGTTTCCTTCCTATCGTCGTTGTCGAGTTTTATTTTGCTCTTCTGCAATGCGAAGTGTATCGCTGTTGCTTATTTTCCTCAAGTGATTTTGAAGGTATAAGTCGTATCTTTAGTCTACTAGCAGTTCCTGTAAAATTTTAAATAAGGTCGTTTGAGGCACGCTTCTCGTGCTCAGGCTCACTTCCACATCTAGAAGTGTACGTTCCCTTCTCATAAAACTTTTCTTAAAAAAAAAAAAAATTAAATCCAAAGTGTGCTCATCTGCTCTAATTATCAGCATCGAGAATGAAATGTTATCTGCTGGTGTCGCCTGTGAGAGTTGAAAACTGTAGCCTATTTTCACGTCTTGTGTCTTCGCTCATCCCCGTTTCACTTGTCAGTATTTCGGACCCATGACAAGGACCGTTTTACTTCTAATATTACACGTCTGCTCATTTGAGAATTAACGTTTTTCGTTTGGGTTATTTTATAATGATGTTAACAATATTATTTTTAGAATTCATCCTGTTTAGTTTGTTTATCACTCATTAGTTCTTTTGTAACAAAACCCCATGGTTAAGTGTTTTATTGTGATCCGGTACTAATTGGCTATAGTTCACCTGTAAGTAATTTGTTCAGGAATAATAAATAGCCGGTTCATGGTCTAAGCTTATCTGAAAATATCTTCCCTTTATATACCACGCGAATGAGCTACAGTCATTTTTACTCAAAACTATACAGATGTTATTCCATTCTGTGAAGATTTTTCAGGTTTTTAGTTCTGCAAAGGAGAACTCCGCAGCCAGATTTATTGTTTATTAGTTCTTAGGTCCCCGGTATAATTAAGAGATTATAGAACTTTATATGATAGCGTATGAAAATTTTACCTCAAGAATTTGTGAACTCTGTGTCTAGGTATTAAATATCCATCGCTTTTACCTGGTACTAATGAGCGCTCTCAGCGACGCGCCCCAGGAATGTCTCGTAGGATCCATGTATTGTGCACGTTCTAACCGCTGTGTGTAGTGTTCCCTTCTCCTTAGTTCTTATTACAGATGGAAATTCTTAGGCTTGCTGGCCACGCCTCATTTCTTCTCTTATAATTTCCACTGCTTCACCCTTTTCCTCTAAGCTGCAGGATAATTTCTCGAGGTGGTTTTTTTTATTATTATTATTTCACATATTGCCTCCACTGGTTTTAAATTAACCCTGGTACTTTTTTCATCTTTATTTAATCTTTTTTCTTCTTGAGTTGCCCATTCTTCCTCATCGCCCGATACTGTTCTGTAAAGTGTCCTCTTGACTCTCAGAGGTCAAGTACCAGACATTTTCTACAAATTCCTTCCGTTTCTCACAGTGGATTTCAGAGGAAGACATTTGCTCTGAGACCTGAGGGTGCTGCTTTTATTGTTATCTATGGCTCGTTAAAGGTCCAAAGCCTTCTTTCTGATTGTTTGTCCTTTCTGAGGGAGGTACAGGCCAACATAGACTTACCCAGTGGACATCTTCCCCAATACGGACACAAAGTAAAGTCAGAGTTCAAAGTCATGTTACATGAAGTTTTTAAATACATGCTGTTTTTAGCAACATAATGAACTTTATCAGACCTCTCTGTCATCTCTCCTGATAAT